TATAATAAATTATGTAAATAAGCTTTAAAGTCTTCAAATGTTATAATACATAAATATATAAACATAGATAAATAACTATATATCATTTCATACTCTCTACTGATCAGCTAACAAACATTTAATATATTTCTTGTTTCTTTCGCTCAGTGTAATATTTGTTTGAAATAATAATTTCTTAAATAATTTCGTTTACGATTAAATCACATCACATTCATATTTTGGGCAATTTGCAGTCAATTAATAAATACAGATAAACATTATGGCTTATATGAATATGCATATAGATACTTATAGCGTATATCTGAGTAATAATGCATTAAGAGAGAACATCACACCCAAGAGATCAAAATTTGGCATTCGCCTAGGTAACGAATTCAATTAAAATTCTATTTGAGGTGCTTCGTTTGGGCAAACAAGAGCGTTTTTAATTAATTTCAACAGACCGAAAAGCAAACAAGCCAACAAGAACTCAAGCCCGATTCACTGTTGCAGAAAATCTTGCAACCGCCCCACCCAGCATGGATAGGGTGGTGCATCCGCGTTGCCTGTCGAACTTTGGTTGGCAGCTGCTCAAGATCTATTTCGAGTGGATCTCTAGATATTTCGGAGTACGTGCAGCGCCATCATGGTGGGACACATGTGAAATGCACTTCAAGCAGCCATTCAGGCGCGGCCAACAGCCAACGGGGACAAGTGGTGCAAGTGGTGCAATCAAATGTTGACATTTTCGAGCATTTGCGGAAAAGCGATTTGTATATTCGAGGCGTTTTTCTCGCGCGACTGCTGCAAGTGCCAGACGCTCAGATTGTTGAGAATATTTCAGCTCGTTGCGTCTCAATTCAGAGAAAAATACGACACAAATTATTAATTTGATTTTGTGACATAAACGTGAGCACATTCTGTGCCCCGCTTACAAATGGCCGGCGATTATGTGAACAATGCGAATTCAATTTGTTTAAGCTGCTGCCAGAGAGCGAGTACGCCTCCATCTCTTTCCGTTCATTCTACAGCTCGATCTCCACTTGCTGCTCCTCCTTCTCCTCCTCCTACTCCTGCTCCACCTGGCATTGGTGTCATGTGCTTCAGATGCAGTCGCAGTCGCAGTCGCAATCTCAATCGCAATCGCATGAATCGGAGTCGGAGTTGGAATCGGCGAATGTTGATCCGTGAGTCGTGCCTGGGCCTGGCCTCAGTCTCAGGTGGCCATTGGTCAGTGTTTTGTTAATGCCACTTGATTAATGGCTTATTATGATGTCAGATTAATAAGATCGTTTTCCAAATGGCGCGTTTTGTGGTCTCTGCAAGGCGGCCAAAGAGCCAAACATGTTATTCACATGAATCCGAATCCGAATCCGAATCCGACAAGCAACAGCATTTGCTTACCTCTGGCACTGAAGTGGAGCTCCAGCTGGAGATGAATGGCTGCAAAACAGACAGACAAGTTAAAGAATTGTTTTTCTAGAAATTAACCAAATACGCACCTCGTTCGGGTAAATCCAAGTCTCATCAGTGAGGGTTAACCAGAGTTTCTGTAATAAATATATTTAGCCGAACTCAGAAGAAAAGGCATTGGGTAAATTTTTAAATACTATATTTTATTATAAATATTACAAATAAAAACAAAATCTCATTTGTAATTTAATTATAATTTTTATGCATTCTCTGCTGTTTGTTTTTGTTTCTTTTTAGATTATTGCATTTTGCAATTCTTCTCTTCGCCACCTTCTTGTTTACACTAAATTTAAGGTTTATTTACAACAAATTATTTAGCTTTTCTGCCACATTCAAATTTCGCTGTGAAATGTAAGTGTGTGTGTAGGTTTATTTGTGTTTGTGTTTCTCTCTTCTAAGTACATACATACACATATATAAATATATATTTATATCCCATTCATTTGCATGTGTACGTCGATCGCATGTGCATTTTGGTTTCTTATAAATTTCTACAATAAATTTTGCTTTCTTTAGTTTTTCTTGTTTTTTTTTTTTTTTTTTTTTTTTTTTTTTTTTTTTTTGTGAAACTTAATCGCTTAGTTTCTTACAGAACGAGGCCGAAAGTTACGTATCTGGATTGAGTTGAAATTGTTAGCCAATCTGTGGATGCAATCCTTATGAATAGCACACCTGGCCGCTGGTCTGCCTGACATTTCTCTGCTCGACATTCTATTGGAATCACAAATGTTGTCTCTATTGGGTAGTATTTGGGATCTTACGTATTTGATTGCTATTGCCTGGCTACAGCTGGGTTGGGAGAGGGGGGATTTACAGAACGAAACATCCTCTACAAGTTACACGCATAATATTGCGCCTAAACACATGTATATGTCTATGTATATATATATTATATATATCTACATATAAACATAGTATGATGTTCTCTTTTTTCATTTTCTTTATCTTTTCCTTTACTTTTACATTTTCTTTATAACTTTGGTATATGAATTTCTACACGTCTCTCGTTGTGTGTGAAAAATGTAGAAATTGAGTTGAGTTACGTACATACATTCACAATATATATATATAGATGTATATATACATACAAATGCACTCTCAATGTATACATATACATTTATA